GGGGGTCAGGAAGGAATATTTTCCCTGCAATATAGAGAAGGGCAACTAAACTGATACGAGGCATGGAGGAGCTCAGCTATGAGGAAAGATTAGAGGAACTGAATGTATTCTCTTACTGAGAAGAGGAGATTAAGGGACTTAACCTCCTCGGCGGTCTGATTATTTCAGATTTTTGGTGCTGAAAGTGGTACCATTATTTTGCATGGAAATATGTATTTTTTTTTATTGTAGGCTGTAATTTTTAGGAATTAACTCACTGAAATCTGTCCGGACAAGAGTCTAGTAAACATCCCGGGGAGGATAAAAAACTTGAAACACGAAATCATAAATTATATTTTAATAAATAATCATAAAAAATAATAATATAATAATAAATTTAATTCAATAATATAATCAAACCAAAAAACACTGAAATGTGAAATAGAGCGCCAAGTTCGCACATCGCTGAGCTCAAGTCGCAGAATCGTTTTCAGTGTCTGATGAGGAATTTCCACCACCAATCATTATCACTCAATTCTGCAAGTGGTTCTGATTTACTATCGCTGTTCTCTAGCCGGTCTAAAACCGCGTCTGACCTAAAGGGACGCTTTTTTGGACGCCATGGACGTTTCTCAGTTTCCAGGCAGAAAGAGGCGGTAAAAATGCAGGCAGGGCGCCGGACAAAAGCACTCAGGACACAATGTATGTGAAATGGTTTGATACAGGAATGTTTTGCTATGTAATATTCATTTACAAAAAAAATGACAGTTTTTAAAAAATTTTTAAATTTGCCCGTACGTCCCGACGTCACAGGGACCGGAACACAGAAGCCGGATGCTGGCATGGGCCGGCGGAGATGGCCGGGGACACTGCTATAGGGGACATCGCGGGAGCGAAGGACAAGGTAAGCGCTGCAGGGAATCCCAGAGCAATGCAGCATGGTAAGCCCGAGTGTAGCTCGGGGGGGGGTTATCGCTTGTGGTACTGAAACTTTACCCCGAGCTACACTCAGGAATAACGCCAGGGGGGTTAAGGAGCAAATTGGATCGTGCTTTGCTGGGTTTTTGCCTTCCTCTGGATCAACTGTGGGTGTAGAAATTATAACTATTTTTTTTTCTATGGTTGAACCGGATGGACTTTTGTCTTTTTTCAGGCAGACTAACTATGTAACAATGTAAGAGGATGGATGCTACACTATGAACACTGTTCAAATGACAACGTTACTCAGCATGGACTTATCATGAAAACAAATACCTAATGACAGGTCCACTTTAACCACTTCAATTCCGGACACTTTCACCCCCTTCTTGACCCGACCATTTTTCAGATTTCAGCGCCCTCACAAAGTGAATGACAATTACTCAGTCATGCAACACTGCACCCAAATGACATTTGTATCATTTTTGTGAGAAAGATTGAGCTTTTCTTTTGGTGGTATGTCATCACCACTGGGCTGTTTGATTTTTTTTGCTATATAATTTTGAAAAAAAAAATGTGTTTCTGTTATAAACTTTTTCAAATAATCTTTCTTCATAAATTTAAGCCAAAATGTATTCTGCTCCATTTCCTTGGGAAAAAAAATAACCCAAAACAGTCTATATTATTCAGTTTGAGTGAGTTATCGAGTCTACAAACTATAGGATATATATCTCAAAATGGATCAATCCTAATGTACCGACGGCCAATCACATTTCATGAGGTCCTAAAATGCCAAGTAAAAGTATACAACCCGTAGTAAAGTAGTATTTTACTTGTTTTTGTTTGTTTTTGGAAAATGAAGAAATTAACCACTTCCAGTCCGGACACTTTCACCCCCTTCCAGTCCGGACACTTCCCCCTTCCAGTCCGGACACTTTCCCCCCCTTCCAGTCCGGACACTTTCACCCCCTTCCAGTCCCGGACACTTTCACCCCCTTCCAGTCGGACACTTTCCCCCCCCCCCTTCCAGTCCGGACACTTTCCCCCCCTTCCAGTCCGGACACTTTCACCACCTTCCAGTCCGGACACTTCCCCCCTTCCAGTCCGGACACTTTCACCCCCTTCCAGTCCGGACACTTTCCCCCCCTTCCAGTCCGGACCACTTCCCCCCTTCCAGTCCGGACACTTCCCCCCTTCCAGTCCGGACACTTTCACCACCTTCCAGTCCAGACACTTTCCCCCCCTTCAGTCCGGACACATTCCTCCCCTTCCCCAGTCCGGACACTTTCACCCCCTTTTCCAGACGGACACTTTCCCCCCCCTTCCAGTCCGGACGCTTTCACCCCCTTCCAGTCCTGATGCTTTCACCCCCTTCCAGTCCTGATGCTTTTACCCCCCTTCCAGTCCCCCCTCCCGGACGCTTTCCCCCCCTTCCAGGCTGGGACACTTTCACCCCCCTTCCAGTCCGGACACTTTCCCCCCCCTTCCAGTCCGGACACTTTCACCCCCCTTCATCCAGTCTGGACACTTTCCCCCCTTCCAGTCTGGACACTTTCACCCCCTTCCAGTCCGGACACTTTCCCCCCTTTCCAGTCCATGACACTTTCACCCCCTTCCAGTCCGGACACTTTCACCCCCCCCTTCCAGTCCGAAAAACTTTCACCCCCTTCTAGTCCGTACACACTTCCCCCCCTTCCAGTCCGGACACTTTCCCCCCCTTCTAGTCCGTACACTTCCCCCCCCTTCCAGTCCGGACACTTTCCCCCCCTCCAGTCCGGACACTTTCACCCCCAATACGGACTTCCAGTCCGGGACACATTTTCCCCCCTTCCAGTCCGGACACTTTCACCCCCCTTCCAGTCCGGACACTTTCACCCCCTTCCAGTCCGGACACTTTCACCCCCTTTTCCAGTCCCGGACACCTTTCACCACCCCCTTCCAGTCCGGACACTTTCCCCCTTCCAGTCCGGACACTTTCACACCCTCTTCCAGTCCGGACACTTTCACCCCCTTCTAGTCCGTACACTTCCCCCCCTTCCAGTCCGGACACTTTCCCCCCCTTCACTGACCAGGCCAATTTTCAGCTTTCCGCGCTATCACACTTTGAATGACAATTGCGCGGTCATGCAAACACTGTACCCATATGAATTTTTTTTAGCATTTTTGAGACAGATAAAGCTTTATTTTGGTGGTATTTATTCACCGCTGGGATTTTAATTTTTTTTTGCTATGTAAATGAAAAAGTCCAAAAATTTAGAAAAAAAATGTTTTTCTTATAAAAGTTTGCAAATAAAATAATATTTCATCATAAATCTTGGCCAAAATATATTCCGTTATCTTTTTTATTAAAAAAAAAAAATAACCCAAATTAGTTTATAACCAAAATTATAATTTTTAAACATTTTTAAAATATTTTATTTTATTTTTTTATATTATTATTTATGTTTTTTTTTTTTTTACATACTGCCACCCTAGCAGTACAGTGTCACCATGGTGTCACTTGTGGGGGGGTGATGAAGATTTTTCTTTTTTTTACACTGATTGCTTTTAAAACACCCATAAAGGCTGTAAAAACAATCATTTCTCCTTCTCTCTGGCTGCATTCTTGCAGCCATTGAGAAATACTGAGTGAGCTGTGATTGTCACAGCTTGTCACATGGTACAAGGCTGTTGTGAATAGCCCTGTACCATGTGACCTCTGTGATCATTCACAAGATTTCACACGTAGTAAGCAATGATGTCAGAAGTGACATCTTGCTTACTACTCTGCATGTGATCACTGATTTGGCCAATCAGTGATCACATGATCGGGACCCTCGCATAGAGGTTCCACTGTGTCCGGAGGACACAGCGGCACCGGATTGCGGTGCTGCTGCGCGCTCCCAGGGAGCGCCGCACAAGCAGGGGGCGGGGAGGTCCGTTTATAAATGGCCACCCACCCTGCACTGCTCCCTTCCGGCTGTTTATATACAATGTGCCGGATGGGAGGTGGTTAAATAAAATTAAAATTTTATTTTAAAATTGTAAGTTTTTATTTTAACTTACCATTTTACCAAGTTCTCACACACAGCATAGGCATACTTACAATGACACCCGCCCAAAACACATTCTGCTATGCCCCCCAATTATATGGGGATACCACAGGTGTGAGACATGTTTTCACAGCCTAGATGCATAGAGGGGCCCAAAAGTCAAGCAGTACCTTTGAACTTTTAAGGGGCATAAAATCAAGCATAAATTATGTATCTAATTTCCTGCCTACCTATCGCATTTTTGGAGACCCTGAAGCACCAGGACAGTGGAAACACCCACAAAATGACCCTATTTCGGAAAGTTAAAACACTCTAAGGTATTTTCTGAAAAGGCATAATGAGTCTTCTTAAAAATGTCATTTTTTGCCAAAAGTTTCTGAAAAATGCAGGATAAGAAAATGAAAATGTATATTTTTACACACCGTTGTCAATAAGATATTAATAATACACATCATAGATATACTTAGAATTGTACCCCAAAAATTCTGCTACTCTCCCCCGAGTATGGGGATACCACGTAGAGGTGCCCAAAATCCAAAGAGACCCTTAGATGCTCTAGGGCAGTGATGGCGAACCTTTTTGAGCCCCGAGTGCCCAAAACTGCAACCCAAAACCAACTTATTTCTTTCAAAGTGCCAACACTGCAATGAAACCTGAATATCGAGCTTTTGGTTTAGAAAAAAACAACTCGTACAGTAGTGCAAACTAATTAACAGTACAGGGATGACCAGAGACTGCGGACACAGTACAGGAGATGAACCAGAGACTGCGGAACACAGTACAGGAGATGACCAGAGACTGCGGACACAGTACAGGGATGACCAGAGACTGCGGACACAGTACAGGGATGACCAGGAGACTGCGGACATAGTACAGGAGATGACACGGAGACTGCGGACAAGTACAGGGATGACCATAGACTGCGGACACAGTACAGGAGATGACCAGAGACTGCGGACATAGTACAGGAGATGACCAGAGACTGCGGACATAGTACAGGAGATGACCAAGAGACTGCGGACACAGTACAGGGATGACCAGAGACTGCGGACACAGTACAGGGGTATGACCAGAGACTGCGGACACAGTACAGGAGATGACCCAGAGACTGCGGACACAGTACAGGAGATGACCAGAGACTGCGGACACAGTACAGGGGATGACCAGAGACTGCGGACACAGTACAGGAGATGACCAGGAGACTGCGGACACTGTACAGGGATGACCAGAGACTGCGGACACAGTACAGGAGATGACCAGAGAGACTGCGGACAGTACAGGGATGACCAGAGACTGCGGACACAGTACAGGAGATGACCAGAGACTGCGGACACAGTACAGGGATGACTAGAGGCACTGCGACACAGTACAGTACAGATGACCAGAGACTGCAGACACTCAGTACAGGGATGACCAGAGACTGCAGACACAGTACAGGGATGACCAGAGACTGCGGACACAGTACAGGGTATGACCAGAGACTGCAGACACAGTACAGGGATTACCAGAGACTGCGGACATAGTACAGGAGATGACCAGAGACTGCGGACACAGTACAGGGATGACCAGAGACTGCGGACAGTACAGGAGATGACCAGAGACTGCGGACACAGTACAGGAGATGACCAGAGACTGCGGACAGTACAGGAGATGACCAGAGACTGCGGACACAGTACAGGGATGACCAGAGACTGCGGACAGTACAGGGATGACCAGAGACTGCGGACACAGTACAGGGATGACCAGAGACTGCGGACACAGTACAGGAGATGACCAGAGACTGCGGACACAGTACAGGAGATGACCAGAGACTGCGGACACAGTAACAGGAGATGACCAGAAGACTGCGGACACAGTACAGGGGATGACCAGAGACTGCGGACACAGTACAGGGGATGACCAGAGACTGCGGACACAGTACAGGAGATGACCAGAGACTGCGGACACTGTACAGGGATGACCAGAGACTGCGGACACAGTACAGGAGATGACCAGAGACTGCGGACAGTACAGGAGATGACCAGAGACTGCGGACAGTACAGGAGATGACCAGAGACTGCGGACAGTACAGGAGATGACCAGAGACTGCGGACAGTACAGGAGATGACCAGAGACTGCAGGACACAGTACAGGAGATGACCAGAGACTGCGGACACAGTACAGGAGATGACCAGAGACTGCGGACACAGTACAGGAGATGACCAGAGACTGCGGACACAGTACAGGAGATGGACCAGAGACTGCAGGGAGTTCACAGTACAGGAGATGACCAGAGACTGCAGACATAGTACAGGAGATGACCAGAGACTGCGGACAGTACAGGGGGGATGACCAGAGACTGCGGACAGTACAGAGATGGGGAGGGGTACCTGAATTTGACAGGTACCCGCTCTTACTTCCGCAGAGTTTTTTTTTTATCTTACCTGTTCGCCTCGATCCAGCCGCGCGTTGTCTTCCCGGCTTCTGTAGTGGGGGCGCTCGTCGGACAGCCGGATGCCCAGTGCGCATGCGCGAGAAGTGCTGCGCTTTGTGATTGGTCCGGCGGCTTCTGGGATCTGTCATGTGTCCCAGGTACCGCCTTACCATTCACAAAGAGCACTGCTTCTTGTGCATGCGCACTTGGACCCGGCTGTCACGCACACTACAGCCGGGAAGACAGCGCGCCGCTGGATTCTCCTGGCGTGCCCACAGATAAGGCTCGGCGTGCCGGCTGTGGCACGCGTGCCACGGGTTCGCCATCACTGCTCTAGGGGCATAAATTACACATTTAATTTCCTGACTACCTATCACATTTTTGGACGCCCTGCAGTACAAGGACAGTGGAAAACACCCATAAAATGACCCATTTTGGAAAGTAAAAACCCCAAGGTATTTTCTAAGAGACATGGTAAGTCTTTTGAGGACTTTGTTTTTTTTGGCACATTATTTGGAATGAAAGTGTTGATGTAATAAGTTATTTCTCACACGCAGCACAGGCATACTTAGAATTACAACCCATCTACTTTCTGCCATCCCTCCCGAGTGTGGCGATACCACACGTGAGACTTTTTCACTGCCCGGACTAATTATTTACCGGACATTGTATCATACAAATCAACCCGTTGTGTCAAAATCAATGTGCTGTTATGGTCACCTTTTTACGAGTGATCAGGGAATATAGCTTGGTGTAGTGCC